TGGTGGAGTTGGTGGAGGAGTTGGCGGAGGTTCTGGTGGAGGACTTGGCGGCGGAAAGGGTGGGGGAGTTGGTGGAGGAGTCGGCGGAGGTTCTGAAGGAGGACTTGGCGGCGGAAAGGGTGGGGGAGTTGGTGGAGGAATTGGTGGAGGTGGTGGGGCAGGAGGTGGAGCTGGTGGTGGATTTGGAAAAGGTGGAGGAATAGGTGGAGGTTTCGGAAAGGGCGGTGGAGTTGGTGGTGGAATAGGTGGAGGTGGTGGAGCTGGAGGTGGCATTGGTGGTGGTTCTGGAGGTGGAATTGGCGGAGGTTTCGGAAAGGGTGGAGGTTTTGGCGGTGGAGTTGGTGGAGGTGTTGGAGGTGGAGGTGGATTTGGTGGAGGTGGAGGTGGAGGTGGAGGTGGAGGTGGAGGTGGAGGTGGAGGTGGTGGTGGTGGAGTTGGGGGAGGATTTGGTGGCGGTTCTGGTGGCGGATTTGGCGGAGGCAGTGGGTTTGGTGGTGGTGGCGGTGGTTTTGGAGGTGGTGGTGGACTTGGAGGTGGCGGTGGTGGTGGCATTGGTGGTCACTAATCCATGTGAAACATTTAAAAGGCAAGTCCCTCTCATCCAAATGAAATCTTATAGGAAGAAAGTTTGATTTTAGTTGAAATAAGAATGTTGAGGAAAGAGATTGACGGTTAAGTGTTGAAGTGTGATCTGCTTTCCACCAAGTCCTAATAAAAAAGCACCATTTTGTTTTGTCATCTTCTTGTTTTGTGATCTGGTGTTCATCACTGTTAAATCTATGTAAACCTTCTTATTTTTTAGTTTATTCAATGAAAATGTATTAAATGTATTACTGTTTTAACTTTATTCATTTGAAACTGCATTATGGGGGTAGTTGTCATGTTCAAATGCTTATTGCTTTTACAACCTTAACCATGACTGGAATAAAAACACAATGACTTCGACTTAGATTTCAGTTTTTGTTTTTGGTAAATATTTTACTTAGAATTCCAGAACGCTGGATAGTTGTGATTCTAGATCCTATAAACAGGAAATCTAATTTATTTCGATTTTAAAATATCATTATTATTGTCTTAAAATATAAAAAAGGATAAGAAATTACAATTTATTAACACTTTGGTTTTTATACTAGATAACCTTACTGAAGTACAATCTTCTAAGCATTTAGTTGAGAGTGTGGTTGTATAAGGTTGAAGCCTTACACAATCAAATTAAGGTACACCTCTAAATTTTGTCATAAATATAATTTTGGTGTAAAAAATTCTTAGGATGGCTTGAGAATCTATTTTAATCTTTAATTATAAAATCTTAAACTCTAAACAAATCAAATAGGTCTATAAATACTTGAAATTTTTGAAAATAGACGGTCCAGATAATGTGTTGTAAGATATACTATTTTTAAGATTCGAAATCTTTTTTTCTTTTTGTATTCATATATCTTGATGTTGAGATGATGGTTTTCCAATATCAAAATAACCTTTTTTATGATGGATTTTTGAGGTGCACTTTAATTTTATATTTTAAAGTTGCAACCTTAGTTTTCCTCTAATTAAAATCCTTAACAAAGACGAGGTGTGCAATTATTGGGATCCCTAGTTTGATACTTTTCTTGTTTCTTTTGAAATGTTGACTTGATTTTCCATCGATCCTGCAAAATTGATGTAGATGCATTTGTGCTTTACCGTACAGAATGAAGTTCTACTTTGGATTGCAACTTGTTCTTTGCTAATAAAACCAGGGTTTAATAATTTTTTGATCTGGATAAAAAATGGCCGATTCTGATCAGTAATCGTTGGGGCGAACCTTTTCTTGCTAAGTATTAGGAGCCGGCATGTTCTAGCGGCCGGTTCTGGCGAGTTCTCTAACATGTGGGGCTGATGGTTGGTTCTGTTAGAGAATCGGCCACCCTTCTTTTCTTTTATTTTTTACAAATTTTTATTTTTTAATAACCGATTTGATAGAGCGGATCGTCGATCTGCCATACTGGATCAAAAATTCGGATAGGCAATCGGGGTCTCCGGACGCTTTTCTAAAAACCCTGATAAAACTATATGGTATTCGTTTGGGATAATGAATTATTGAGGTAATAAATTACGACTACTCATATATGTTGAACGTGAATTCCAATTCCCTAGGATATTTCCTAATGGTCGAGATATTTTCGTTTGGACATTGAGCTCAATCAATTTACAACCTCAGCTACCCTATTTTACATTCAATGTCTAGAACCATCACGATCTCTTGTATAAAAAATAAATGGACAAAGTTTATATAAAGTTACAACATAAATAAATGGACAAAGTTTATATAAAGTTGCAACCTTAAAATGTATAATTAAACATGCACCTCAAAATCCATAGAAAAAAGTTGTTTTATTGTTAAAAAACCCTGATCATTTCCGCATCGAGATATATATATATATATATATATATATATAA